AAGCCTCTCGCTGAGTTCTGTAGCCTTTAGCTCTGGCTCAGAGGACTGCTCCCCGGCCTTCGGTTTTCACAGCATCCTGTGCTATTTTTGTCAGTCTTGGAGTTCTGCTTTGTTGTCAAGTAGAAACATTTTCTGTTAACTAAGCATTCTGCTACAACTCCTCCCAGGGTGAACAGTCTTAAAGAAAAGGCACATTAATGAAACTTATTTCTAGTATTAACAACAAACCCGACGTTATTTCTCATATTCTGTTGTCAGAGTCAAAAGCAGGATGGATAAGTTTATTACATGCCATGTCTTGTGCATATATCAGTACTAAAACTACTTACCTGCTTCTTATAGGATGACACTTCTGTGCCATATGGCTTTATTTTTAATTGTATGTGCTATATGTATCTGGTTAACTAGAAGACATTTAAAAATGTCAGAGCTTGGCTGTCTCTCAAAATTCTCCTTCCGTTTTGAGAAAAAAAAAAAGGAATGAGAAATAAAAGTATGGCAGACTTCAGTTATTTGTCTCATTGCTAACTATTTTACAATAAAAAAGGAATACCCCTATACAATTCTTATAGAAGGAGGGAAAAATTATTCAATTATAACATTACTTTTTTTATAAAAGGTGAAATTTTTAAATTGGGACTTAAATGTCATTTTACATAAATTTAAATTTGGTGTGAAACAGCTAGTAGTACCATGCAGACATTTGCTTCCACCACAAAACTACCTTCTTCCTCCCTCTCCATGAAATCATATAACTTTTCCCCAAATTATGTATTTCCTAATTTTCATTAAAGAAGAAACATGTGAAGAAACTCTGCTTACAGTGATGGACCTGAGTTCTAAAGCATGAGATTTGATCATTTGTCCTCATATGCATGAAATCAAGCAAGGATCAATGGATACTGAAAAGAGACCATTGTGTATTAAAACCGCAGGCTTTAGGCACACATGTCTAGCACTACCAGAGACAACCACATAATGAAGTGTATGAAACTCATCCTGTTTTCCTACTGTTTACTGAATTCAATATTAAATAAGAATAGACCTAAAGACACTACATGTCTTCAATTTCTTATTTATTTTTAATATCTTCTATATTTAAAACCATACCTGTTTTTCTTGATAGAAGATATAAATAAAAAATATTTCTTCATAATAATGGATGTTGGTTATGACAATGAAGGTTAGAGATTATCCAGTCAACTACCTTTAAATAAAGTGTAGCAAAAATTGAAGTGATCTAAATATAGAACACAGCAACACCAGGAGATTCCTTACAAATCTTGATAGTGTGCAACCATTTATATTGAATGAGAGGTGCACTAGGGATATGTAAAAAGTAGTATAAAAAAAATAAATTGGTAGCTCCTTTTTACCCTTTGACAGCACAAGTCAGAAGGTCTCCAACTCAATTAAAAAGGACCATGTTTAAATACATTCCTTTTGTTTAAAACTGAAACAATAAATCCACTTGGTGTTTGTATGCACGTGTGTGCTGTGTATAGCGCTTAATACCACAGTGTACAAGAAGTCAGGGAATTAAAACACAATGAGACAGTTGCTTGGAACTATAAACACTCACAGCTATATAAAATACAGAAAAATATCATAGGTATATAATTATATAAGCATTATGCTTACATTAGCAAGTATGGTAAATGACATAAGACAATTAGTAGGTGCCTACTCTCAGGAAGAAATTTTCCTTCCAGGAACATGACTTTGTAATTGTGTAGTGTGGGTTACTTTCTGTACCTACTGCTGAAAAATGTGGGTTTGTTACCACCAAAAGGAAAATCAACTTTTGGACTGATTAGACTTAGCAAAGTCTTTAGCTTTACATTATTTATAGCCATATTTTATAAGCTTCTAAGTAACAAGAACTCCTTGGATGGCCTGATAGGGGTCACTTAAAAGACCTTCAGTGCACAAAAGCCCTTTCCACCACTCTTACAGTGTATGGGTGAGGGAGGTCACACTGGGGGCAAATTTAGGATGGCTGCAATTTACTCCTATTCTAAGGTTCCTTTATGTTACTAAAGTGATGTAAATGTTTAAGTGAGAAGCATGTTCAAAATTACCAAATGAAAGGAGCTAATCTCCAAAAGCTCCCTGCCCGATTTTTGTTGGCAGAGAGTTTTTAAGCTGCCATAACTGAAAGGCAGAAATTGTCCTCAGCAAGCACCGGTTTCTGGTGCCATTAAGGTCTACAGAAGGAATCTACTAAAATCCCTTGTTGAGCTTTGCCCTTTTCTCTCCCATCTGCTGAAAACTGTTTAACACATTACACACTGTCTAAGAAATTTTCTTCTCCCTAACAGGATTTAAAGTCTTTACTTTTATAAAATATTAAGAACAGGATATGTTATGAACTATTAAGCAAAATACATTAATATTTCAGGATAATATGCTTAAAAGGAAATAAATCAGAACAATGTTTCAATGGTATCAAAACCAAATGAGAAAATCTAAGCAATTCGCGTCGATATACTCCCACTGACAACGATCATCACACTGACATGTCTTCTGTACTCCTTTTCACGCACAAATCAATCAACCCAAACAAACACGTCTATCAACGTGGGAACAGAAGTTCAACTCTTCAGCCAGTTTTAATGCGACTGCATGGCTCTACAGCAAGCTGTGGATGCGGCCTTTAATAATCCAAAGCCATATATACGCTCTAAAATGAGGATGAGAGACGCCCACCTCACAGGGGCTATCTATCTGGTGAGGGTAAAGTGAATTGATCAGACACAAGTGAGGAAAAGGGGATAAGTTATGAAATAATAAAATGCACAGACTGTCTTTGTGCACAGTTTTTAGCCAGAAAGTAGCAAGAATGAAAACACACAACTCAACAGCAGCTTTTAGATAGTAACTTCAGTATAAAAATATTAGTGATGTTAAGTGAATTTGAAAAATTATAGCAGATGTAGATAGTGGCATTGCATATAACAAGAAAAATACTGCATTTTACCCTTTCCGTGCAATTAAAGACTGCTTAAAATCTCTTTGAAGTCCGTTTCTGATGGCTGAGGCTGATACAAGCTTAACAATTGGGAAGAAGAAAAAAAGAAGAAACCTAAGGAACGTACTTAGGGAGTGTTCGCATTTTGCTTGTGCTTTACTATTTAATGTTCTGAAGCTGCTCTTGTTAACTCCAGTCCCCACTCAGCAGAGCACTTAATCACGTGCTGAAATTTCATTGATTTCAGTGGGACTTAGGCTTTGGCTTAAGTGCTTCACTGAATTATATATTATTTTTCACTTTCCCTTCTTCATGAAATTAATAGAACTATTCAAAGTAAAATATTACTCAGTGTAAGGTAAACTGTTGGCTTTTAGACAGGTGACATATACATAATACCTAACTGGAAGCCTCACTACCATTTAACTGAAACAATTGATAAACTCTAACTATGCATAATAATGATGTGAATTGCAGTAATAATAAAACTTTATTTTCTCAAATAGTTTTCAAAAAGGAAGGATGGAACCACAAAGCATCGATATTGCTAGAACTCCGTGTGATCTATACCAATACAAGAATAAAGTCATTTGACTCTTTTAAAATAATGTTATTTTTCAATCCAGATATGTTACAAATTAATGGAGAATTTATACATTGCATAGAAAAAGAAAAGTTATACGTTATTTTTTATGGGGTACCATAACAAATACTCATTCTTGTTACACTTTGACAGAATGTAAAGAAACTGATTTGTACACATGCAGTCATATCCATTGCATTCACGTTTGCACTGCATTTTCTAATATCATTACTTCATCTGCAGCTACTCGTCAATTCGCTGTTGTTAAAGGAGCCCCTAAATTTTAAAGACTCTAAAGTCCACACCCAGATGTACAGCAGAGGAGAATGAGGAGTGAACTGAAGGACTTCAATCTCTGGCAGGAATTTAATGTTTAGTTTCAACCTTCTGTCACACTTTGGGTGAAGAATGAGTGAAGGATTGTTCTTCCTGGAACAGCGGAATCCTTCTCTCATCCTCATCTGCCCTGCCTGACTTAATTTCTGTATTTATTAGAAGAGATAAGCCTTTTTCTGAACTATCTATTTCATTACCTTTTCTCCTTTCAAATCCTATTCTGGCTTAAGGATGCCCTGACTGCACTTGGATCTCATTTCCCATGCCATCGTTCCTTGTCCTGTAGTCAAAAAGACGGTGCTGGTGAACCTTGATAGTAAGAAATTCTGTAGCTTAAGGAACGGGTGTGAACTGCACCTCCACAAGGAAGAAGGTGTGTTAGCACAGGTCAGGGTAAACCTGTTGGAGGGGAGATATAAACAAGCATCATAACTAGGTCTATAATAATACATGGTGAGATTTAATCAGCATGGTTTCTTTCAAAAAAAAAAAAAAAAAGAAAGAAAGAATCCTTTTGGGCAAATTTGTAAGGCAGTACACATGTGAACATTTTATTTCCAAAAGTTTTTCACAAGAGCTTGTATGGAAAAGAAGCGAAGAATTGTCACCGATCAAAACTGTGTCTCAGAAACAGAAAGAGTAAGATGAAATAGTCAGCTTCTGTCATGGAAACAGTTACCAGCAAAGCATCTCAGTGTTCCATAGAAAGTTACATATTGTTTCATTAAGGATTTGGAAAGAAAGTGAAAAGCAACTAGAAAAATTTTCAAGTGACAGTTTTTTCCCCTGCTACATACAAGAGGGCTGTAGAAATGTAGGAATCACTGGGGCTCAGAGATACAGGTTAAGAAAGAACTTAAATACTTGCATAGATAACAAGAATAATCCCTCATAATGATGGTTTTGGTCACAAGGGCCATATGGAGCAGTGTGTGAAATGCCAGCTTTAAAACTGTTTTGCTTCTTACATTTGAAATAATTCTTCAAGTTGAACTTATGATAAATTAATACTTTATAAGAAAGTATTTAGGATATAAATTGAGACACAATTATTATTTTAGATGATTCTACTCCGTACATTTTTGTAGTGTTAAAAGCCATACATGGCACAAAGTTATAAAGGATAATGTTTAATATCAGTCTAATGAAATACAAAACATTTTCACTATGACCCCAAATGAAAATTTTTAGTACAGAGTTCTTTTAATCCAGTTCAGTTCCTTGATCTTATTTTTCACACAGCTCTACCAGCAGTTGTGCCAGCACAACAGAAGGGATGGCACAGGGTGGGAACAGCAGCCAGGGGGAGCAGGGAAGAAGTGGTCGGAACTGTATAAACTAACCTTGCTGCTAAAGAAACGTGTCCATTACCAACATCAACATGTACAGGCAGCGCTGCTCCCCTTTACTGGAATTGCTTATAGAAATACAGCTAAATGGGACAATTTACAGCTGCAAAACCAGGCCTAATTAGTGAAAGAAAGTTACTAGCTGAAATTGTATTTTTTAATATATTATATAAACACACACGCACAAAGTTAATTGGAAGAGATCACCAGCAGGAAAATACTCTTACCAGTATTAGTCAATAGAGTAAGTGAGGTTCAGCTTTGAGCAAAAGACACACCTCTTGAAGAAGGAGGAGATGGGGAACTGAGAAAACTGTCATCTTCAGGGATAGATTCAACAGCTGACAATGATTTGTAATACTCATCCTCTCCATCCAGCACTTTGATTTGGCTGGAAAGAAAAGAAACATTTATTAAGTTATATAATGAATTCTGTCAATATTTTCAGAAATAGAAACTTCTCTGTGGATGTGAAAATGAACAGTGCTAATACAAGAAAGGAAAAAAAAAAAGATGGGATGAATTGATGAGATAGATATAGCTTTTATACATACTTTTACTTTGTTATTACTTTTTAATGATTATACTCCGAATGGTTCTGTGGATCAGTAAAATGCAGTATAGTCTTTCAGTTTGGGCGTACATAATGATAGACCAAGTATTTGCATTAAATGGGCATTTCATTTGAGCAATGTGGCTTTTCGTCTGTATATGTTCCACAAGTAGGGTATGGTTTTGCTAACGTATTTCAGCTGATAGTTTGCTGTGAATACGACCCAAAGACCACATCACCAATTTTTGGGGAAAGCCCTATTGCCATCAAGAAGCTTTCATTTTCCTGTGATGTACGATGAGCACTGCAGTCCCGTGTTATTTCCTGAACAGGAATACAGGGGAGGGAGATAAAATAAACCAAATCTTGCACAGTTGTGCAAAATTTTGGGCTTTAACCTTGACTCAAAGACCTCTTATTCATAGAGTTATATTCAGAAGATTAATTAAAAACAGAGGAAATAATATAGAAAGTTCATGTATATTTTTGGACTAGATGCATTTGCAAGACCAAGCATCCATCAGCTCTGTCTCGTCCATGGGACCAGCCAATGAAGTATTTTGGCAACTGTATAGTAGCCAGCCTGGCTTTGTAAATAATTTTCAGTGATTTCTACCTATGGCCAGGTGATCACTGCTCATGTGACAATAAGGACTGACTCAGTTCAACGGAGAAGCAGCAGCTCCCTTTTGGGCTGAGTGGCCTCTCTGGCTGAAGCCTAATGTGAGTGTGCTGCTGCAAAGCTGGCAGGGCTTCTGTCTGTGTTCTAGGTCAGAGAACTTCAGTTTCAACGCCCTTCATCTGGCACCTTTCACTAGTGCTAAATGCACTTGAACACATGAAGAAAGCTATTATTTTTGTAGTAGTACTCAGAAAGAGCTGGGGAGCATATTTTGTAAAAATCAGTTCTAGTGTCTGCAGATAGCAGTACATACAAGTTTTACATTTGCTTCTGCAGAAAATGTCCAGTGTCAATGCACAGAAATATGTTAATTGTTTATTTTTAGAAACCTCTCTAGAAAGTTTTGCATATTCTGTAATATCACAAAGGACTTCTTCTGTTTACAGTTGCTTAGAACTAAGAAGATAGATATTTACCCAAGTTTTCTTGGCTTCCTCTTGCTCCCTTGATATTCTAGAGTTCCCTGTGGAGAGGGCCAAGAACACACAGTCAAAGCAAAGCAGCAAGTCGTTAATTTTTAATTCAAAGTGATTTTGTGTTGAATGCAAGCAGATGCTGATAATATCAGAAGTCACAGCATAATTTTTTTGATCAAAGGGCTCAAGTGAGCCTGATGAAGCATGCATCTTGCTCGTCTTTGATAAACCACATCAATTATTCACCGTGAAGGCAGACATCCTGACATGAAAGCAACAGATAAAGAGCATAAGCACATGTTCAAGACGAGAGCAGAAGAACGTGGGGGTGGGGCTGGAGGGGCTGAAACAGGTATTAATAACAGAATTATTAACTGGAAACAAAGCCAGTAAAACAGCTTTATTGCCACTTTGAACTCACATTTAACTGGTTATAGTACATGTTGTCCTCAGGGCTATTCAGCATTTTGGGCTGCTGACATCGTCGACGAGGTGTTCTCAGCTTCTGTTCAAGACAGTTTTCTGAACCTACAGTAAGATAACACAATTTAGTTTTAAGCTGTGCCAGGTGCTGTGAACATCTTAGCATATTTTAGACTCTGTGAAGAGTCTTTTCTTCTGTCCTATTTGGTCCTGGATTTATTAGCAAGTCTGTCCTATCCAAAGTAAGCACACAGAAACTTGGGGATCTTTGTTTTCTCTTTTGAAACTTAGTTCAAACACAAGTTTTTAAGCAGAACTTCATTTTTACTTTTATAATATTTTTTATTCTCCCATATATCTATATCACACAGCTCCTTATTCCTTTCACACTTTATCTCAGCATCTTCTGTTATCTAAGCAGGAAATGACTAGCTAGGGATGTATCATTCAGCAGCAGCAAAACCGTTTTTCTACAGTAGACAGTAATAAAGCCTTTTGACTGATGAGACTTAGTCTATTATCATCATTTTTATTATATAAAAAGGCTACCTTTTTGACATGGCGCTCTGTTTAATCAGAGTAATCGAACCGGTTTGGAATTATGCTTTCTTAATATAATTTGTGATGTGCTGTAAAGTAACAGTTTCTTAAAGTCATCTGGAAAGCAGAGTTTAAAGATGAAGGAAATATTTCAGAAGGGGTAGATTCTGAAAAGAGCTAACTGCCTTTTTATTTTTTTTTTTTTTTAATTATTTTTTTTATTATGGAAAAAAAGACATTATGGTGTGCTGTAGTCTATTTTACCAGGTGTTTTCTGTGGCACATCCTCTAGATTACCAGGACAACTATATTCAGGATAAATCAGAATCACTAGGTTACTAAAAGACACTATGGGGGGTCAAGAAAGGTCATTTCCTTTTCAAATAATTCCCCCGATGCCTTTGACTTTTCTGGTATCTCCCTGTTCAAAATTATTTTAGTGACAGTATGAATAAAATAATTTTTTGGTGGCACTGAAGGAAAAATATATGTATCACATTTGCATTCCATACTGCATGGGAAACTTGCTCCGATACAAAAGACTAGCACAAAGATCAAGTAGCATGTAAATTCCTTTAAACACTTCAAAACTGAAGTCAATATGGCTTTCGCGGATGCAGGACTCTAATCTACAAATCCATTTGTAAGATCTGGCCTTAAGGAGCAGGTAATATTACAAAGGAGGTTTATTATACACCCAGGTTTACAGTCTGCAACTATCGTACTTTCCTGCATTACTGGGTGAGGTAGAGGAGGTGGTTGAACTTCTGCCTTTTCAGCCAAATGACTGACTGCTCTGGGAGATTTTCTTTCTTTCACCGTCTTTCTCCCTCTCAGCAGTGAAATTTGAAAGATATTAGGTTCTTCTCAGTGTGGGACTGCAATGTCTGTATGGGAGGGGAACACTTGTTTCGTGCCTACCGTCATGTTCCTTCACAACACCTGGGAGGGATGGTGGGTTAAATGGCCACCAGGGAACTGGCTGCAGAGCTGGGTCTAAAATTCAAAAACAATTTTATAGAGAAAGGTTACATTTCTACAGTAATACAACATAACTTTTAAATAATATATTCATGCTGCTTGCTACTTTAACACCCAAAGCTTCAATGCTTTATACTTCCAAGTTCAGATTACCTTTATATTTTTGCTAAAGAGATTGTGACGGCTGAGCCTGAACCTTTGCTACTTACCCATATTGTATATAACCAGACAAAGTAGAAGCTGTTCCGGAAAATACTTCTGGGGAAATTGGGTGCCCAAGTAATATCTGTGTCTTTGGAAAGTTTGTTCTCTAATATTTAGATAGGATATAGGTACAATTTCGTTCTCTCTGAAGTCTCTGCAAGTTTTGTGGAAGACCAGCCATAACTACATTCTACTCTCTCTCTCTTTGCTCTGAAAGTTACTCAAATTGATCTCAGAGCTTTCTGTCTCAGGACAGCAGGGTCTGCAATTTTTGCAAGCAATGTTTTCAGTCGCTAGGCTGTATGAGTCCCTTTTTACAGCAATGTAGTTCTCAAATACCTCTCCACAATTTTTTTTTTTTTTTATTCTAGCAAGAGGCTGCTATGAAAAAAGACTCAGGTCCTCACAGTTTTGCATAATTTCATACATCTCTCTGCAGCTTGCCAGAAATAAAACCATAGCACACAAGTATTTAGAAATTTTCAAACAGTACAATAATATGATGGGGTATTCTTTTTTCCTTTCCCCCAAATGCTGGTGTGGCCTTCATGGTTTTTTTTCCCAAAACACCTATATGCATAGTCTTTGTTTTAAAAATATCTTTTACACATTAGGATTCTGAACACTAATATTTTGTTCTAGCTTTTTATCCTGACACTTAATTATTTCTGTGTATTCTATGGGTGGTCTGCAGCTTGTGTCCTCCAAAGGAAATACCCTTTCAGTGGGGCCATTTGTCTTAGCGTTTAGTAGCATACTACACGAACAGTACAAAATCTGGTAACATTTATCATAAACTACCATATCTGGAGAAAACGGTATTAACATGTGCTCAACACTCAGCAGTTGAATAGGCATTTTAAATGCTGTTCTAAAATATTTTGCTTTGATGACAAACTTGAAGCCACCAATATGAAAAAAGGCCCTTGTAATTTTAACAGCAATAGCAGCAGCACCAGTATCATTAACAGGGTATTGTCTACGCTGCACCCAAATTGTGCCAGGTGCCTCTGGCATATCCAGGCTCCAGAGTTTGCTACAAATTCAGAGACTAGATGAGAAAGTGAGCACATGCACTTCCTTCAGGTTGTCTTTATCACTGTTTTTTAAGAGATATGGAAGAAAACTTTTTCTTTGTAACTCTAAGAGCAGAAATTCCTTAGGTTATAATTTCTTTATTGGTAAATTCTTTGCTGCAGTGCTGAAATAACACGGAGTAGGCAAAATGCCTTCTGCCAAGTGCACTATGTCAGCTGGTCTAGGAAGTGTGGGGAGGCTGAGGTTCTGGGCATCCTCCTCCTTTCCTTGCTCAAAGCCAGAGAGGCTGATATGCCTGGGTGAGCAGGCTCATGTGGATGCTTCCCTGAATCTACCACAAAATTGATGTTGCTTACAGTGAAGGGAATTAGAAACTGGCAAATGGGTAAATCTGTTGGAGTATAAAATATTTATAAGTAAACAAACCGATGGGGTTTCTGTTTACTCCTCTATTACCACTATTGGTTATCCTTTTTATTTCTCTGATACATAAGAGCCCAAGCCAATAGACCAGGACCTTGCAGTGCTCAGACAGATTAAAAAGACGTGTGGTTTCAACTAAATGCAAAGTCAAACATTTGAGTTAGTTACATTCTTCAGAACTGGGAATTGCACAGTTGGAAAGCAGTGTCTCCAGGAGACACTTGGGAATCATCATGGATATTCAGCTGAATATGAAGTAGACTGGGTGCAAAGCAGAGGACTACTCGATAGAAATAGGAAAACAGTTTTATCATTGAGTGCAGAATTATTTTAAAATGGGTGCTGTAAACAGCAGAATGCTTTCAGAACAAGAAAAATCTGAAATCTGGAAAACCTGCCATATGGCGACAAGTTTAAGAAGGCTGCTCTATTTAATTTTTTTTTTCAAAAGAAGGTTAAGAGGTGATTTGAAGTGAGTCTAAACCCCTGTATAGAAGGTGAAGGGTTTTCACCTTCAGAAACAAAAGTCTGAACTGCCTAATGGTCAGAAGTGGAAGAAGATTTCAGACCAGAAATACAGCACATCATAGCGAAAGCAGTCAGGAGAAAAAAAAAAAAATTAGTAGTATGATGGAAACTCAGATTAAAATTGGAAGCTTTTAGAAAAGGTATGTTTTGACTCAAGCTAAAGTTAAAAACTATTCAAGATATGACATAGATCACTTCTAGCTTAATACGAATTAATTTCTCTAATGTGATTTTTATCATGAGTCCCAATCTGCAGAAGATTTTGTATTGATCTTTTGATTTCCGGGATATACTTTCACCTCTGAATTTCCACATGATTCTTCTTCTTTGCTTTCTTATGGCTGAAAATGGAAATATTTTTCTTCAATTAGCCATCACATCCATCATACTGACACTTCTTATGACATCTCTTGGCTTGGAGATGATTAGCACATTTCTTATGCCATATCTTATTTAAATGATTTTTCTGTTTAAAAATCCATGCTTTCCATAAGCTGCAAAGGATTCTTTCAGAAATGCACAAACTGCCAAACAGTAAGATTTAATGAAAGACTCTTTATGCTCTTTAGCACTGACACAAGGACTTTTGCATCAACGATTTGGGCCCTGACCAATACTTTCAAAATAGTGCCTGCAAAAATGTATTTTTCTTACGACTTCCCATGATATTCAGTGAAGGTCCCATCTTAGATGTCCTGTTTGTCCTGCTTATCTTGGTACTGAAAAACTGGGGACCAGGCACTTGGCACACTCTTCAGAGGAACTGAGAATCATTAGCCTTTGCTCTCTGAAATGAAGCTACGGTTTTCACAAACTGTTCATAAGCCCTTGCTTCAAAAATCTCTCGATGCCGATAACCTCACCAAACATTGCTAATTTCTCCTATATGGGGAATTCTCCAGAGAAAACGGCGATCAGGCAGCTACAACTGCATTTGGAACTTGTAAAACCCACTGATGCGAGTCAGATTCTTTTAAGGTTGGTGCAGCACAGAGGGAGCTCTAAACTCTGGACAACATCTTACTTTTAGCAAGGAATGCACAGAAGGGATCTTTGCCAATGTTTCAGTAGCATAGAGCAAGCTGCATTGCCGATTCCCTTGCTGAAGGGACTCCATCCACTATAACACATATTGAAGGGTGGAGCCAAGTACTCTCATTTTCCTTCTGAAGACATTTACCCAAAGCAGGTTTGAAAGGGGTTAGTCTTGTCTCTCTTTCTGTCATAGAGGAACACAAACCTAGTATCACAGGAAGGGTAGTCCTTTTATAATTAGTCAGATGGGGAGATTTAGAGTACAAGAAGGGACAGCCTGCTGGAGGAAAGGTAATGAGGCCATTTAGGGGATCATATATATTATTAACAGAGTAAGCAAATAAAGTAAATAAATCAGTATGACCAAGAAAAATAGTAAGCATGTGGCTGATTTCCAATCTATAATATCAGATGAAACATGAAAGTGCAACCCTTAATTATAAGCAAATATTAGCACAGACTCATGGGATCTCATCATAACATCTCAAGGTCTACATTCATGAAAATTTAAGCAATGTTTAAAATCATGTTAATTTGTTCTTTGTTTGTTTCTTTTCCTGCCAGTCTAATTTATTCCAAAAGTCTTTGGTTCTCAAGCCTGGATATATTGATCATGCCTATGTAAAGCATTGTTATAGCCTGGGGAGAAGATTTTTGTGGAAAAACTTGTCTTTGTTCTCCTTTGATAATTTATATGTATTTTGATGTTTTCAAGCTTTTCCAGTTTTGAATCATTTTTCAAGGCAGCAAGTTAACTTCACTTTTTCTCTTGAAGTCTTGGGCAAATGCAGAAATGACCTCACAGACAATGATAATATACATCCTCCTCCTGGACTGGATGCTAAGTGGATAATTATGTGGAGCATGTTGATTTCAAGGAACAGCTACATTTTCTTCTGTGCCATACAAGTTTGTTCAAACAGAAGACTCGAGGAGCTAGTGATTCTGGTCCCACTCATATCAGTGTTAAATGGGAGTGACTGAACGTCACTTATGCAGTAAAAAATGCTGTAAATGAACTAGGCTTTATGATTTTAATTATTTCAACTTTATTTTAAAAGAAGAGAGATTTACAAAGGGCATATAATGTTGTTTGGCCATGAGTGTTCATACAAACATATTTTCCTTCCTTTCTCATTCCCATGATTCTCCATCATTTGCACAAATTTGCATCCCATCCTAAGTGCAAAATGGGAGTAAAATGAAAAACTTCCCTGAGAAGCAGCATGAATGCTCAGGAAGTTAGCCCCCACTGAGCTCCTGCTGCACCTGCCTGCCATACTCAAGCAGAACTCTCTTGCACACCCCTGTACACTGTGGTCAGTGTGACTTTAGTGTGAGCCCACATCACAGGGTATTTGTACACTGCCCGTTAAATGCTACCAACTATAAATGCATCAGAAACAAGGACAGGATAACAGGTCTAATAGGCTTCACAGAACAAGTACTGTAGAATAATCTGTACCTTCATTTGGGAATAATGAAGTTATCAGGTCTATGCTATATACTATACATTTAATTATGTTATGGTAGTTCTGCAAAAATGCTGGAGGCTGATAGAAAATAAACACACTGTCTCTGAAAGATTTTAATCTCAGTACAGGCAAAACCACACCAAGAGACAACAACATAGGGTAGGAGAGAATAAAGAGGAAGACTACTTGGTGCCTTAACTAATGAAGTATGTCTCTAATATCTTCTTTTCCCTTCTGAGGTTAATGAGAGGGGAAAAGAAAAAACTACAGGAGAGAGAAATGGACGGGAAAAAGACAAAAAATGAAACAATC